TGACAGAGTTCAGTGCATCACTTCATGATAGAAAGGAAAAAGCTTCATCAGACAGGTCCAATCTGTGTAAGTCAGCATCTTTGTGTGATTGTATGTCTGTAGAGTGTTTTGTGATATACCACTATATCACTTTTGGAAACGATATCAAATAGTGTGTGAAAGTGCATTTATTTCAGGATGGGAACTCAGCAAGGTACAGGGGGCTGCTTGTGTCTGAAGGATGCTGAGGCCCACGGGAACCTTTCTGCACCTGATGCTTGGTGCTCTGCAACTGCTGAGCACTTGCTCCCTGGATTCAGTGTAGGACCCTTAATCTAAGATGTGATCACCACTCTGTGCCATCTTCAAGTTAACGCAGAGTTTCAGTATTCTGTAGCTCTGCCTGCATCTTAATTCCAAATATCTAATGATTCACCGTTTTCATATAAGTGGTAAAAAAGTGTTTACCTTTCAGTTCTGTAGATGCTGTTTCTAAATGAGCTTGAAGTTCTGGCTCTCTGTCCCATAAATGATTTAAAAATAATGATCACTTTACAAATTACATTAAGGAAAAATTGTAAGAACAAACTACAATTCATGTCACAAGTAGAAATGAAGTCAAAGAGAGGCAAGCTGTACTCTTGCAGTATTTGGCATTTATAATTTAATCTCCTCTTCTGAAGTACTACCCATGTTTTAATAAAAGTGCTTCCCATCATATGTACATTCTTTTGTTTTCATAATAGATTTAGTGACTGCATTCACCCCTCTGCGCTGTCGTCAGTGACTGCAGCTGAAACTAAGTGCTGCTAATAATTTTTACTTGCCTTTATTGATGTCTTCCCAGATGTTCCATCCAGCAACATTTTTCTAACATTGACCACTTCCAACAGAGCAGGAAGACTGTACTAGGAACAAAGAAATCAACAAATAAATAAAAAAGAAGAAATTGCATTATTTCTATTTCACAGACTGTAAGTCTTCTGTGGACCCAGTACATGACCCATTTGTACCAAAAAAAAAAAAAAAAGAAAAAAAAGAAAAAAAGAAAAAAAGGAGAAAATCTATAGAAAAGCCTGATTCACTGAATGTTCTACCGTGTTTTTCAGATGTGTCCCACAAACCATGCAAGCTGACTATGGAGACTAGTTTTCCAGGTGATTTGAGACAGGGTTTAAGAGGTTTCCCAAGTCAAGGTAACAAATCTATGGCAGTACTCATTGTGAGAGGGGGAGCAGATGTGTTTTTTTCACCAAGTTTGTTTCTGAACTACTGCATTTGCCTATCAGAATGACTACAAGAAACAGTATCACTGCTTTCAAGTCTGCAAAATGTCACCCTGTAGTTAAAATCAGGTTCCCAAAGTTTCTTGTAGCCCAGCCACATTTGCTACTGAAGTTCACTCAGGGGTGATTTGGGATGGTACTAGCCTTTTGTTGTAGTTAAGATTTTCTCAGATTAATCAGACGTACCCTTGAGAGCCAGAGGCAACCTGGGACATAGCTCTGAGAGGTGAGAAATGCTTCACTCAGCTTCAGCAGTGTTCTCAGCCCATATTTATTCCACTTCCACATGAAAAGCAATGTCATCATTTAACTCTACACGTGGCGTGTAAATCATGAGTTGCTCACAGCCTCCAGAGAATCCTGTCTTTCTTCTGCTCTCTAAAGCTAATGTCCTCCCCACAGTATTGGCAAAAGGTACTTGTTTCATAGAATGACAGAATATCCCAAGTTGGGTGGGACGCAGAGACACCATTTTGTCCAACTCTTGGCTTCACACAGGGCCACCCAAAATTCAAACCTTATGTCCAAGAATGTTGTCCAAACATTTGTACTCCACCAGCGTGGGGCCATGACCACTGCCCTGGGGAACCTGTTCCAGTTCCCAAACACACTCTGGTGAACATCCTTTTCCTGATACCCAGCTTGTCCCTCACCTGTAGCAGTGCCATTCCCTCAGGTCCTATCAGTGGTCATGAGACAGAGGACGGACAAGTTCCTCCTCCTCCTCCTCTTTAAAATATTGCCCAGATGACATGTCTACCTGTAAGTCCTCTCTGATCTCTCTATAGGAGACATATCCTCCATTCGTCAGAACTCAGTGCTCACTCTTACAGTAAAATCAGAAAGTGGCATATATCTTAACCAATTTGTGACCTTTACTTGCCCTTCTTCCTAAACCTATACTGTTGTGCTTCCCTTTGTCTTCTCCCATGACTAAACCTTTAACTCGCGTGAAGTTCATCCCTCTTTATATAAACTTTTTGTGCTTTTCCTTTATTCACTTTTCTCCACCTTTAGCATACCACACTAGCAAATATGCATATGTTCTTTGTTAAAAAGCTCTTGAGTGCTAGCCAGATTTTATGCTGCTGATATGACAATTTTGCCAAACAAGCAAACACTAATTATGTAACAAATTGTGGTGCAAATTCTTCTTTCCCTCATCTTGTGTCAAGTATCATTCATAAACAAATCTGTGCTGCATGTAGTCCAGTTTTCCTGATAACTGTATTCCCTTGAGCAGTTCAGTTGATCTAAAAACAAGCTGGCCAGAAATTCCTTCAGCTTGGCAGGCTGTTGATGTGCATTGCAACTCAGTTTGTTTTACGAGGAGTAGAAATACACTGTGATTTTTACACCCTGCTCCAAGCTTTCCCTCTCCAGAGGGACAGAGAGGGCCAGCAGTGAGAAAAGGAGCACTGTCACAATCTGTCAGACTTTAAAAGAAACAATTCTAAAATCCCCGGAGAGTTTGTCTGCATTTCAGGATGTACTACCTTGAGTGGTTTGAGAAATAATACATGGCCATGGACCACAACAACATCCAACGTCCACACTAGAGGGGAAGAATATAAGTTAGAAATGTAGTTAGAATTATCTAGAACAAAGCTGTTACAAAGTTATAACAATGTGTAATAAATAGGCTTGATTGCATTGTTATTTCATTTCATGTCATACTTAATTTCATTTAACTCATTTTTTCCTTAGAAGTTGTAGTATTTTTGACACCTTGATTAGATAGCAAAGACTTTTACTTACTTTTAAAGCTGTTTATGATTTTAGACAACAGTGAAGAAGCTATAGAGGAGCTGTCCTGTGTGCCCAAAGACACAAAGCTAATTCTAAGTTTAAAGAATGTTAAATATGAGTGATGGATGGAAAGAGAAGAAGATAGCCAGAAATAAGGACACAACTGGATGAGGCTGGGTGCAGTAGTTGAGAAATTTCTGTACATGATGAGGAAGCATAGTTTCCTTGAGTTTGGCTGTGATCAAGTTTACTTTCTTTATGGTAGCCCATATGGTGCTGTGTTTTGGATCTGTCATTGCAACTGCATTGATGGCACATGAGTGTTTGACTATTGTTTTCTCTTTTTATCTTCTCTTTTGCTACAGGATGTAGACCAAATGGGAAAAAGGTTGGGAGGGAACGGTTGAGACAGCTGACCTGAACTGGCCAAAGGGACATCTTATACCTCGTAACAGAAAAGGAGAGTGTTGCATTCTTGGCATCCGAGGTGTCTGCCTCTCATCAGTCTGCTTGTGGGATGTGGAGAGTGATTGTCTGTGCATTGCATGTCTTTCCACCTTCCTCCTCCTTCACCTATTTAACTACCTTTACCTCAACCCACAAGTTTTCTAATTTTTGCTCTTCCTATACTCTCCTCAATCCCCTGGGGCTGTGGGGTAGAGAGAGCAACAGACTTGATGGGGGCATAAATACTGGCTGGGGTGAAGCCACTTGTCTTATGAATAATGTAAGATAGGTGGCTGGAGGGTGGTTTCTGGAAGCACATCCCATTTCTTAAATCTGGAATGCTTTTTTCTATGTTGGTTGATTTGCGTGTTTTGTTGTTCTTTCTGTTCTTTATTTTTGTTCTGTTCTGGTTTTGTTTCATTCTTTTTGACAGTTTTCCTACTTCATACACTTTTATTAAGCCTTGAAGAAGTCCATCTGGCTAGCTGGCCTGCCATCACCTTTTTAGGATCTTTCTGATTATCCTTTGGGAGATTTACACAGATGTTATAAAACACCAGGGTTTCCCATTTGAACCCATTGTGTAGTCAGTGCAATCCACTTGCTCCACGTAGCATCAATAGCATGATGTGTAGAGGGAACTTTTCCTTTAAACAACTTAGCACTGTTAGTCGAAGTGCTAAAACAAGCTGCACTTCAGTACCAATTCAAAGTTTCTGAAGCAGCCCAAATCCCTTCGTATGATGCTAATACCTCTTTCTTCAGTTGCAATATAGCATTCTTTGGATCCCCTGTATCCTCAGTTCCAAAATCCTAGAGATCTACTTTGGATCTCACCTGATGTTCTTTGCCAGAGACTCTAGTGGTGCCCTTTTCCCCAGCTGCAGTGGAAAGCATGTTGTTTACATCTTGTCTTGTTCGGACTGGTCCCAGAGCAATTGCACAGATTACCTCCTGTTTAATTTGTTCAAAGGCTTGCTGTTGCTCAGGGCTTCACAAGAAATCACTCTTTTGCATTACCTAATGGAAAGATCTTACAACAAGATTATAATCTGGGATATGCGTTCTCCAGAAACCCATAGCACAAACATTGGGTTTCCTTTGTTCTCTTTGGTGGAGGTACAGCAGTGGATTTCTGACTGTGCTACTTGCTGCATTGCCCAGAAATGGAAGAGAGTTCTCCTCAAACACCTGGAATTGGAAATCACGTGGGAAGTACTGGAAACTTCTGGGAATTGCAGTCTGTCTCTTCTTAGCATATCTTCTTCTCAGCCATAACCAATGTAGGTATAGTGGAGACTTCCAGGAGCCGGGATCCAGGAAGTGCAGCTCCCTGGCACTGTGCTCCAGTACTAACAGCTGGCTGCATGATGTCGTGGTATGGAATACCAGTCAAACCAGGGCAAAAGTGAACTAAAACTATGTTCTCATGTGCTTGTTAAAAATCAAGTTGCAATATAATAATCTTGCTTGGTATTTTATTACAATAACAACAACAACAACAAAAATCCACTACGAATTAATCTCCATATCTGCATGCATCAAATAATTACAAAATGCTTATTTTGAACAAAAATTGTTCTTCCTGCTTTGGAGGACTATATTTATCAGCAGTACACTTCACAGACTCTGCACAGAACAATTTCACGATCACATTAGTAATAATTTTATAAGCCGCACATAGTAACAGAATGATTTCAGAGTTACTCTGGGTAGATGAAAAAAAAAAATCCTTCAGGATCGACAGATCTTCCATGGTTTCCATACAAATTTTCACAATTCAGTACAACAGTGATGGGATTCTGGTGTCTGAGTCAGAAAGGCTGAAACTCACTACTACTTAGTGTACCACTGCAGCTGAATAACAATGAAGTATCGCAAGAAAACAACCTTGTACTGAAAACAACAAAATATCAAATAAAACTCCATCTCAAAAAGCGAATACTAAGTACTGCAAGATCATTTTGAAATTTCACTGCAGTTTGTAACAGAACAGTTACATACGACAGAATTCATACTCAGTAATATTCAGTAATTGAAAGATAAATAAGTATCCGCAGCACTGTTGAAAGAACAATTTAGCTTTGCACACTCTTGAAATAATAAGCTGCTTTTTTTTTTTTTTTTCCATGGTGACAACTCTCAAATCTGTTTTTGGTTTGTTCTTTACAACGGCTTTTTAAAAACAACTTAGGAAGGTTTTTCTACTTGCAAAAGCTGAGTGGTTGATCCTGTGTAGCACTAGAGCTAGTCAGCAGCTTCTAAAGAAGCATCAGGCTCTTAGCTGTATTGGCAATACTTCTGTGAAATGAAGTTGGTGAGAACTTTATCAGTTGATTTGCGCCATTCATTTCCACAGCAGTATCATAAATCCCTCCATAATGTTATTGGAGCTGCTTTAATATATACCCTAAACTCTTTCCGCCAGGAGGCTGTGCACTAATTTCAACTACTGCGTTTTAAATGTATCAAACCTTTCTCATCTGCACCTTGCCAGCACTGAAGCTGGCAACATCTCACTGTTTCACAGTAGCTCCAAAATAAAATGCTAGAGCAGTTTTCTTATGTCAGTTATTGAGTGAAGTTCCAAATAACAGTGCAGTAAGAACATCATCTCTTAAATCAAAGCCGTGAAATGAGGATACAGACATGGATTTCAATATTGCTCTATTTCAGACAATTCTTTCAAGCTAAATGTTACAGAGGAACCTAAATAATAATATTACTTCAGTCTGTAGTTGACATCTAATCACATCTAGCAAAAAAGTTTGCTATACTATTACTAATAAACAAAAACACAAATTTTTAAATGCAGTCTCACATATCTGATGTACAGTGTAGATACAAGAAAAATGGCTGGTTGCTGTTATATACAGAAGAGCAAACATAGTATTAGTTCTAAAGTCACACCAGCAAGATCTCTACCGAAGTTTCATAGTTCAGCTGTATGGGTAAGTGTAAAATTGGAATGTATTTCAGAATAACATCCTTAAATTCACAATAAATTATGAATTAAAACTGCACCTGAACTTACATCTGCAATTCATCTTTATGCACACAATTTTGTATGCATAGTTATTTATTTTTGTACAGCCTGATATTATTCACTTTTTTGCTACTGCAAGTGAAGGTGCAAAGGAAATTGCATACATGAATTCCAGACTTGTTTTGAAATCTTACTCAGAATATGGCCTTGAAAAAGAAGTACAGGCTGAGAAAGCAGAGATACTTTTGGAGCAAGAATGCAGATGAAGGATATAATTTAATTCTGGTGTTGTCAACCTGTAAGAGTTCCAGTTCAACCTGATCTACTCTGAAAGTGGTCACGACAAATATGTAACTTTGAGTTACACAACTTCTTGGCTGACTTGCCTCTCTTGTACCCCTCCACTGATGCTACTGAGGTTTCTTTTAGCCCACGCTGGATAGATTTTGAGTAGAACAATTTTTTTTTCACAGCTTCTTAAATATTGCGCACAAAAGCTGTGTGAGTTCATAGCAAACAGTAACACACAGGCATTGTCTTGAGTCTGTGTTCTCATAATAGCACAAACACGAACAGGTCTGGAGCAATGAGGAGAGTATGCAGGTAGCTAAGATCGCAACTGGGAAGCGATGGTGGCTTCTCACAGGGAACTGGGATAAGCCACGGAGATCAGCACCCTCTGCTGGTGGGATCAACTGCAGACCGAGTCCAGAAGGTGAGCACAGCATAGAAACTCATTGCCTGTAATATCAGCTTCTGTTTCTGGCTCCAGATCATAAAAAACAGTGCAAAAGGTGATAATGTAGAGGAAACATTACAATGAACTTGGAGCATTGAGAAAAAGTAGCAATAATTTCATTGTGTTTTCTCTTGGATACTATCTGAAAAGAAAAATGAAAAAAAAACCTGCCTTCTTTACTGTGTTTTCTTCTTTTCTTTAGACATTATCAAAGCTATAAAACCCTACCAGCAGCCTCAGAGACAACTACTGAAGTAGGCCAAAATTAATTAGTAAAAGCTTGCCGAATAGCGTTCAATATATATTAAGTTCAGACAAGATTTATTTCAAGTGGTCCATCCCTAATCTAGCTTGCTGAAGAAAGAAAAATTCTGAAAGCTTCCTACTTTAATTTGCTTATTCCCTGCTGTGAATTGATTGAAAAGCCTTCCTATTTCATGCTGTTCAAGGTAGAAGAAAAAAATAAAGATTTCATACTCTTTGCCATCAGATTTTTTTTTTTTTTTTTAAGCTATGACACCTACAATTAGATCTGCATTTCTGAGGGAGGTTGGAGTCAATGGAGGACAGTTACTGTCATAAGTAGTGGTTATGGCTGTTCTCAGAGATGTGGTGAGAGTCCTTCCACTACACACAGCAGCATGGAGGAGGGCAATTCTCTCAGTTTCACTGTCTGTCACTTTGAAGAGCAGCCTTGCTGTTTTGGAGATCACAATACAAGCTGAAGTACTTGCATATTCCACTGAAGTCCATTCACCTCTTAAAGTTTTGTTTAGTGTTTCATTCAACTGCATCCAGCACTGTACTGTTTTGACTTCCCAAGAAACTGTGTTTTCTTGCATGATACTGACAGGTATGTAGGTAAATCCTGCTATTTGGTGAGCAGAAATGCTCATTATGCTCAGTATGTCATACAGGTTGGTGCAAAGAGATCATCTGAAGAATTTGTATGACTGCATACTCAGAACATGGTGTGTCTCAGGCCTGAAAATTAGAGAGATGAAACAAGCTGAGAAAAAAATATCTGCCATCTTCATTACATCTGCAGACAAATTAAAAGTCACCCAGTGAATTATCTACATTGTAAGATCTTATGTATATGGACTTACGAACAGCTAAGCACTGTTGCATAAAAAAAGTATCTTGAAAACAGCAACGTGCATCATCGTATGAAGAGAGCTGGGTTAGAGAGATGTGCATCTAGCTGAGAGATAGGCATGCCTTTGCAGGAGTGGAGTGCTGCTGTGAGGGAAGTCTGTGTCTTTTCCTTGTGCCATCTGCATGGTGCCACCAGGTTAGTTAACTCTGAGCTGGAGCCAAAAGGTGACACACAAGAAAATATCCCACTGCACCACTGCCCTCTGCTTGTCAGGGAGTAAGGCTTAGCCTATGTATTTCTCCTCGCTGTTCAGTATGCACCACGTTCTCCTGGTCACAGCACGCCTAGCACAAGGAACTTTGAGACCATCAGTTTCCAGATCCGGTCAGATAAAGTAATGACACTGTCCTGTTTGGTGGCATGCCAATCATCCCCACCAGCCTTTCCCTGCCCCTCACCGCTCTGCCCCACCTGAAAGCTATCCCAGTACCACCCAGTGCACATCATCATGCTCTTTTATAAGGAATACACACCAAATACTAAAAGGCATTAACAGTTACCTCAGATGACAAACATGTGTCACCAATGGATGTTTTTGCAGAGGACAGATAGGTATTGGTGACAGTAATATCTTCTAGTTCACTGCTGAAGTGATCAGACTCTTTGATGACGTTATAATTTAGAACCACACTGTAATTGGCAGGTTTCTTGTCCCGTTTCAGATGGCAGTTGCAGAGTTTCCTGAAGGCTGCTCTGAATTTCTGAGACATGAGATTATAAATTACAGGATTGATGGCACTATTTAAATAAATACAGATTCTGCAAAACAGCAGGAACCAGTTTTCTTGGAAGGGACTGGAGAGAAAGGAATTGACAACCACCAGTGTTCGATAAGGCATCCACAGAAACGCAAAGAGGACTACCACCACAGCCAACATCTTGGTAACCTGGGGGAACACAGACAGACACAAGGTGAGCAGATTAATACAGCTTGGAAGGAACAGATATCTTCCCAAATCTCTAGGGCCAAAGCAAAACTACTGACAGGTTTTTCAGCTGTGAATTTCAGAACTGTGTTTGATTCAGAAAGTTCTACTGTAGTAAGAAAAACAAACAGAAACAGCACTTGGTTTCAAATTCCTCCCAGTTTTTGTTAAATAACTGTAGATTTTGCAGCTCCTCAAGCTGGAAGATCTCCTTTGGACTACACAATCTGTAAACTAATTCAAGTTGAAGCCTATTTTCATGATCTGCTTTAAGAAGTACCTTGTGGGGTTTCAAAAGCCAAAAGTATTTTTTAAAGGAACTAGATTCAGTCTTAACCCTAAAATCCTAATATTTAATTAGATCTTCATTATTTGTTTTTTATTCTGAAATGTCAGTTGTCATCTACAAGCAGAGGAATATAAGGGATTATCGTAAAACTTGATTATTAAAAGAGCTTTCATCTATTGTATAAAGCAAAAAAAAAACAGCCCTTGAGAATACCCAGGGTATCTGAAATGAACAAGAAATAATTGAAAAGTTATAAAAACAAACAAACAAACCTGTAAGAGGGCTGTTCTCTTAAATTATAATTTACTTTCATTGTAAATATATACTATATATACATACAGTAATTGAAGTCCTAATATATTACAACATATATTGTATATTTTAAACTCTAGTCTCTACACTAAAGAAAGCTTGAAAAGTATTAAAACAAGGTAGAAAATACAGTGAAATGTGACTACATGGGAAATACCAGGAGATAATACAGTGAGGTGCTGTCATATACATCAGGGGATGACCTCCTTAACTGTGTGTGCATGAACTGAAAAGCAGCGGACAGATTCTGGTGAGCTATACCTGCTACTTTTGTGTTTTGTGTTTTCCTTTACTATTTGCCTTTCTTCTTGACATAAAGCAGTTGCTGCCTATTGACAGAATATTTTAAAGAATGACTTTTTACCTTTGCTTCAGTCATGTTATACTTTATTCCTTCTAATCTGGGTTTGTGAGGATATACGTAATGAAGCAGCAGCTACGGTTGCCACAGGAAACATTATCTGGCTGTATGGGTTATAATTCACTGCTTGCAGATCTGATAGATGTAGATTAATAAGAGATGAGTTTCAGCTGATGCCTCTAAGACAGATAATTCCACTAAAATTACTCATACAGCGGTGCTTTGAAGTTAGAGCAAATCGTTTGTTTTTTGATCAGATGTATGATCTCTTGAAATGCACTAATACAAAGGCTATAGTTTGATACTATAATTCTTGGCCCTTCTCCCCCACCACTTTTTATTTCTTTACAGTTCTGTTCAGTAGGAGCCAAAAACCAGACTGAGGAATATTATCTCCCTATTTTCTCACTTGACTGATACATCTCCTTGCAAATTCTAGACCACCTTTCTTGACTGCTGTGCACAAATCATCACTGTAACAGAGCAAACCAAAATAAGAATACCTCGAGCAGCTAAAAAGTTTTTTTTTTTTTTCTTATCTCTGAGTCAAATCTGAAAGAAGCCCTGCAGACTGCAAGGAGCACTGTGATTCAGTGCTGGCCTGCTCTGGCTCACAAAGACTGGGGATTCCTTATCTCTCCTTCCTTTCATCCCTCCTGTTAGACCCCAGTATGCAGTTCTAAACTGCGGAAGTCCATTCAACTGAGAACAATCATTTATATGGAAAATAATCCACATTTAAAGGAAAACATTATGCCTTTGTAGAGCTTAAATTAACAATGGAACTAACTAACAGATGTATTGCAATTGCTCAGGCATTCAGAGGGAGAGTAAGTAATAGTCCACATCGGCATTGGAGTACTTTGCTACCAGAAGCTCAGGAGGGGAATTCGTAATCATAGCTCCTGATCAGTGACAATTTAAGTTTCTTCTGATTATGTCTTTAAGGAACAGAAAATCGCTTTCAATGATGTAGCTGTCACTGTGAATCCTAGGTTGTATTAGATGTAAATTCATCATCCTTACTGTTAGAAAATGGAAATACATTAATTCATGATGTTTTAAGTCACATAATTGATATGGCACAGCAATGAAAAAATGGCTATTATCCCTCAAGTCAAGTTCTATATGCCACAAAGACAAACACATATGTACTGCACAAACTGTTGGCTAAATTTATGTGAACTCGTGCCTATAATGTGCATTTTTTATTGTATCTAACATCACTAGCTTATACTGTTGTCATGTTCAGCTTATCGAGGCTGTGATTTTACAAAATATTAGGACAGGCTCTTAGCACCAGATAAAATATATCATGGAGACAGCAGAAAGTACTCTGAGCCGAGATCAATTCAGTCTGCAGATTTGAATGAATCACAGAATGTTCCGAGTTGGAAGAGACACAGAAGGATCATCAAATTCAACTCTTGGCCCAAAACAGGACCACCCACGATTCAAACCCTACATCTGAAAGTGCTGTTCAAACACTTCTTGAAATCCCACTGTCCTGGGGAGCTAGTTCCCATGCTAGACCACCCTAACCCATTCTCTGCCATTGATTCTAGAGCAAATGCAAGAAGCAGGAACATCTTATTCCTTCAGCTGATGCAAGCCAACAAGAATCTGCCACAATTCTAAAGTGGCTGCAGCATGTCCTTCTTGAAGGCAGAGAGTTTTCTTGTCCATTCACTTCAGACCATAACTGCTGTGCAGATGATAGCAGCTCCTCTGCTTTGGACTGATTAGTTTGTCCCCATTGTGACAGGAGGTCTTGTCACCCCTCTGCACTGTCAGGGCTTCTGAGCTAAAGCTGCTGCTATTGTGTGCTTTACTTTTTCCCCCATTTTTGTCATTACAGATGAGCCCAGTATCTACACATGACTTAAGTCAAAGCTGCTTTCTTCTCCACATCAAAAATCTCCACCGGGATGGATGGGTATATGCAGGAATGGGGGAAAGTTTGGCCCATTGTACGTAGCTGTCACAACCATTTTGAAATCACTTCATATGAAATTTAAGTGAACATTATTATTGTCAATCCTGTGCACAGCACAGGGGTTGGAACTACATGATCTATAAGGTCCCTTCCAACCTAAGCCAGTCAATGATTCTATGGTTCTGTGATTATTTTTGGAGGGGCTAATTATTTTGTATTAGTGAAGTGGGACATAAACATCAAGGGGACAAACTTTTAAAGGACCTTCGTTTTAGTACCTATTCTATCTAACCATGCATGAAAGTTCTCTGAAAACAGAAGCATGACCATAGGAACACTCTAGAGGGTACTGGTATGTCCACTAATTACTCAGATGGAGGCAAGCACACTGATTGCTCTTTTCTTGTGGGTATGCACAGCCTCTTCTATGTTCAGAGTACAAATTATTCTTAGTTAAATAAATTGAAAACATGACTAGAAGTGTTTGAGAAAATCCATTGTAATTCAAATTTCAAGTGTACTTTGAATGTAAAGTGCTTGAGACTGAACATGCTTCTGGCTGCATGCAATCCCTCTTCATGTCCTATGTTTTTGTTTCTGATGCTGTGAAAAACATTTTAAATGTGGGTGGGTTTTTTTTGTTTGTTTGTTTATTTTTGTTTTCTGAGCAGATTCTCAGTATTTTAATTCTGAATTGCTTTCCTACCTTTCCTTTTTTGCTCCAAACCCTCATAATTCTAAGGAAGTGATTTTACAAGACATTTTCATTACCACAGTATTAGTAGTTGCTTGTTTCTCCTTTGATCGTTAGTCTCTCTTTCACTTACAAGTAAAAGTCAATGTCATACTTGCTCAGTTACTGTGCCATAGACTCACTGGTGTTTTACAAGCATGTAATAGTATCTCCTTTTGCTGTGCTTGGTTGTGTTTGATATCATTTTTTTCATGCTTGCTGGTGTTCATTGCAAAGCAGAGAGTGTACATGCTATCGCCCAAAATATTGAAAGTTGTACAATGAGGAAGAGGATTAAATAAATAAATTGATGTATGGTATTAATATAATACTGCAAATGGCACTAAGTGATGTGATTGAGGATTTCATATGAGCTATACAGAACTGTATTTTCCATTGCTAGTTGGAATTCATGCTTGCTCTGCTATGAGTGAATAGAGAAGTTTTTATAGAGGGCAGTTGTTCACGTACTGCATCGTCATAGAAAAGTCTCACTGGAGGGTAACCTGCTTTTTAAAACAATCCTAGAGGGCCCTTAGATGATTTGACTGGACTCAACAGCTAACTGAGAGATATGCATAACGTTCCATTCCAAGTGTAAATAAACATGTTCACTATGTAAGGCTATGTCACTTTTTCACAGTTCCCTTCATATCTAGGAATTCCTTTGGGGAAATTATGAAATCTACTTGCAAGTAAGCAATTCAACATTTATGTTATGCACAGACAAGGAAGACACTAACAGTTTAGAAATGTTGACACATCCTCATCCCTGAGCTAGTAGTAAAAAAAAGAAAAAAACAACAAAAACTATGAAGTGAAGATGCATGTATAGATTTGTTGGCTGGTGTTACTTGTTAGTGAACCTCTATTTACTTAAGAAATTTGCTCTGATGTACTTTGAATAACTCATTTTCTGTTTGTAACATGAAAATGTTTCTTTTCTTCTGATCTTTTTAATAAACACCTTGAGAATGGAATGCCTAAAATGGACAGTATCAATGAAACTGGAGTTGACCTTCAGCTTTTACTGCCACATTCTGACTTCATTGTCCCATACAGAAACATAAAATAAGTTGCTAAACTTTCCAATGTTCAAGTAACAACCATTACCATTTTCAGTCTGGGGAAGAGGATGCTGAGGGGAGACCTTATTTCTCTCTTTCAATATCTGAAAGGTGCTTACAGCGAGAGCGGGGTTGGTCTCTTCTCACCCGTGACAGGTGACAGAACACAGGGAAATGGCCTCAAGTTGTGTCAGGGGAGTTTGGATATCAGGAAAACTTCTTTACATAAAGGGTTGTTAAGCGCTGAAATAGGCTCTCCAGGG